CATGGCTCGTAATGCACAAATTGTAATTTAATATTCAGCTGCAGACTTGAGTCCCTCATTCTGCTTGCAGTCACTGAGCTACACAGCCAGGTCTCTTTCACTCTCTCTCTTTGGCTTAGTGCATGTGAAATGTAGTGGGTCCATCAGAAGAACATACAGAAGCAGTCCTGGAGATGTCCTAGATCCTTAATATCAATATCTTCTAATCACTTTAAAAGCTCATCAAATACCATCTCCAAACTTTACCTTTAATTCTTCCACAAATTCTCATTGGAACCTTCTTCCAGTTTTTAGGCTGACTGTATTCACAGCAGTTTATAGCCATCTGTTTTCGTTCCAGCGTTGGACTTTGGCTTGAAATGCTCTTTTTCTCCTTGATTACACTCTTGAAATGGAAACTCACCCTTTCTGTTACTAAACTGAACAAGTGCTGCTGAGCCACATTCTTCCAGTCTTTTCTAGCATGATGGACTTTATGAGAATACCCATCATTGTCGACTTCAGTTCATCTTCATCATTTATGTGTAACAGAGACTAAAAGGCAGTGATAATTTTTTTTTTTTTTAAATCTTTGTAGGATCAGACAAATAATGTCCCATCATCTTCTATTCTGGAGGAACAAGAGTAGTATTGGGAGCTACCCCACTCCAGTGGTTCACAGTTTACCTTGGGAACCTTCTACATATTAAACATAGCCCAAGGATCTAGCTGGTACAAGGCACGTGATTAAGGAATGATAATGTCCATTACTCACAAGGATAAGTGTGAACTTAATAGGTGCTTCAGTTGGACAATTAAACTGTTATTTTAACAATCTGTGATCAAGGACACATTGAGCAAATTTCCAGATCAATTTCCTGACTACTTGCGTAACTTCACTGTTTTTCTTTATTTTTGCACAGAAGTCACAACAGTTGTCTGAGAACGTCTACTGCCTTGCTGTGACATTGGTTTAGAATTTCACCCTGATGGAGAAGGTCGTGTCTAAATGCAATAGGAAGATGGCAGGGCATGAACCAGCGCTGGCTGGTAATACCAGCTAGAATCTCCAGCTAGATGACTTCCCATCTGCATAAAAATGCACTGATGACAATGCCTGTTTCCGGCAGCACGGCCAAAAACAGTTTAGCTAAACCCGTTAAAGTTGTGTAGTCTCTACCAGTCTGGCAAAAGTATAAATTCATGGTGTGGGATACATCAGCATCAGCAAATTCTTTTTCCTACAACATTTCAAACATCAGGAAAGGGTTAGCATTGGGTGTGAAAATGATGAGGATGAACACTTTTTTTCATTATAGGGAGAAATCAAGAATTCCTGGAGCAGGGGAGGGAAGATACGTCTGAATTTGCAATGATATTTGAAACCGTGCTGACGTTGTTTCAAGACATCCAACCAACATTGAAGGATTTTGAGCTGAACTATGCATAGACCTATCTCAGGTGGACGCACATGTTGGGCTGCTTAGCTCCACATGCTGCAGCTGCCATGCCGGTGTGACTCCAGAAACAGGCACCACTGGTCTGCAGAAACGCAGAAATTGGACAGGTCTGTTCTAGATGACTTTAGAGAAGTATTACGCTAAAGGAGGAAACGGAAGTAAAATGTGCTCCCGCGGGAGGAGAAAGGAGAGCAGAAGTGAATTTAAAGCACTGGAGGAAACAAGACAGGTGGCCACTCAGCAGCAGCGAATTGCGCTGGGGTTTGACTATGAGATGAGCAGCTCCAATGTGGAGTGTGACAATCCCAAAACCTAGAAGGTAATTCCCCCTCTTTGAGTGGGATTGTGTGCAGTTCAGTGAGCTCAGTTATTCCCATCCCCCAAACCCTTAAGCAATTCATCTCATAGCTGAACCTTAAAAAATGTCAGTACTAATTTATACTGCTTAACTCTTGCAATACGGACAATTTGTTTTTGAAGAAACTGCAGGAAACAAATCCCTATTACAAATGTCATCTTCACTATGTATTGAAAGAAAGCTGGAACACTCCGGTACAGAGATCGCAAGTAATGCACTTTAATAAAGCAAGGCGCCAAAAATATTTTCACCCATCTCTTTCACATGCTACTGACGAATGTCAGGAAATAATGAAAATCTGGATTTGTGAATGGCATAAAAATTTAATGTCAAATGACATCAGGACTATGCCGGCATTTTAAGGTTTCCAAATGCCAAGATATACTTTATCCTTTATTTACCGTGAGACAGGATATTAGTCATTTGAAGAACATACTCCCCATTAGGCAGGCAAATCAGGCTATCTCTTTGTTTTCCAACATTTCATCCTTTTCTTGCTATAAATATAAAAAAGATTTCCTCTTGCCCGTAACTTTGGTATAAGCTTTCACGTTCTGGCAACGGGATCAGAGTAAGACGTAAACATTTACCAGATGATTAACTTCCTTAAGGACTATTCAATGATACTCAGCACTACAGAGGAAGAACTGCTTCACAAACTTTCATGATACTAATTTTGCAAGAAATCTTGTAAAACAAAGGTCAATAACACCTTCTCTTTACATATGACCATGGCTGCATTTTCACATTTTTAACTGATCATACAAAGTGCACAGGTCAGAGAAAATCAAAGATGTTGTTTTTGATTTGGAAATAGCATCAATTTGTCTGTTTACAGAAGGAGATACTAGTACATAAGTTCTGCACAGGTGGGATTCATCCATGTTTTAAGACATGTACGTCTGCCACAGCCACTCCACTGTCATTCTGTTGTCAATGAAGAAAAACAGGTGGTTTTAACATGCTATTCAACTCATCCTGAAGTAGAAATCTAAAAGTCAGCTAGACTGCACCTTTCAAGAGTCTATTTCTCACCACTGACAGTAAAATAATCTCAGGGGCAGATTTCCATATGGTAGGCTCTAAAATTAGCTGATATCAATGCCATTCCAGGGTAGCGTTCAGTTTCCCAAGTACAGCTATTTAGTGCCAATTGAGACATCCTCATGGATTTCTTAGGCGTCCCAGGGTTTCTCTAAGGGCTCTAGATGTTTATGTTTTGGAAACGGCATTGAGCCCTCAGCGTCTACAGTGCAGGTATCCACCTGTGAGCTTAGCGTCTGTGCTTCCACTACACTCAACAGATATTTGATCAGTGCAGCAAATTATGTCTATAAAGCTGTTTAGGTCCCTAAATCAGACATTGCTTGCCTGCACTGACTAGATTACTGTTGACTTTAATGGGAAACTAGACACCTAACTTGTACGTATACAACTGAATTACAAATAGCAGAAGTTAAGAGTGCTGAATCCCCTTCCTCCCACAGAGCAAGTCACTCTATGCTTCCTCATACTTGATGGGGAGAAAGAGGCATTTTCAAGGTGCCATCCATCAGATCTCATTAAATGCTTACTTTAAGATGAGATGAACCATATTCTAGCCATCACTGACCAAATTAACCAGCTCTCCAAAGTCTGGAAGCCACAGATGACAGTCAGATGCAGACAACTTTTACCCAGATGAAACTCATTCCAAGCAATGTGAAACCCCCCTAGAAGGCTGCCCCCCTAGAAGGCCAGGCCAGATGACATTTACTGAGCTCACCGCTCACAGAACAGCACAAATGCCAGCAGCTAAGCTACAACATGGATAGGCAGAGAAGGGTCGTGGGCTGGCTTGTGTTTGAGGCTGTCTCCTGCCTGGCACTTTGAGGTAACCACACAGAGCCCATGTGGTGCCCTGACCACTCTTAACAGAGTCTGGACTTCTCTCATAATAGGAACCATCCATTTGCCTAATCACAGGTCTTCTGGGATGCCCTTAGGTATTTGAAATATCCAGTGACATGTGAGCCACGAGAATTGTACACCCTTCTGTGGGAGAACCTAGAGGTCAGCTGAGACGTCCTACGGCATCTCAGAGAGCAATGCAGGCCCCTGAGTAGGCAGCTGCATGAGTGAACGTTGGGCTCAGGAGACAGGAGGGCACAGAGCATCAACTGAGAGCAATTACTCCACATAGCTGGAGCAGAGCACAATTGTCTTGTCGTGCCAGATGGGATGTTACAACCGCTTCTGCCCGCTTTTTCTGGGTGCTGATTGAGCAGTGATGAAATACTGGGGAGTTTTGGAAACAAGGAGATTACAGCACTAGGATGGGACTCCAGAGATGTTTGGTTTTCCTTTTTGGCTCTGCTAACACCTTATGCATGGCCTTGGGCAAGTCGTCTAATCAGTGTGTGCTTGTTAGCAGTGCTTGGTCTGTTAAAAAAGGAGCATATTGTATCCTTACTCATACTCATAATCTATCTATCTATCTATCTTGTGTGTTTGGAGTGCGAGGCTGTAAAAGTGGACACTTATTAGCTTCACGCATAACCTCCACAGCAAAAGAGCCTCTTTCTCTGTGGAGGTCTGCAGGGCTACTATAATAAAAATACTATATAATGACTATAGACTAAGGGGAGACAAAGAGTCCTGTTGCTGCTTTGCCCTCGAGACCCGAGTTTTAAATTAAAGATTCCCAGAATCTGATGACTAGCTTGTTAACCTGCTTTCTCTATTAGACTTCTCTGTCTGTTATTTTCAGGTTAATTTCTTGGCTAGTGGCCAAATATGTTATCCCTTCAGAAAAATATTTTATTAATTACATTCAGTTTCAGCTTGTTTATTTTATGTCAGAGACTTAATTAATTACAGTGCTGAACTGTCCATCTTGTACAACAAACATACATACTATTACAAACATTGATTAAATTTTCACTGCACAACACCAATGTGATTGCATTTCACCAAGAGCCATTTTTGCAGCCCTATTATCTCAAGTAGTATGGTGTGCTAGAAGGAGGACAGGGAAGATGCCCTAATGGTTTGGGTATTCACCTATGGCTTGGAGATCTCCTTACTTTGCACAAATCCTGAGTGCCTCTGAGCCTGATCACCTCCCATATGTATCAAGTTTTTCTTATGACATGATGCAACACGTTACAGGCAGTGAAGCCATAAAATCATTTAATTTAGATAAATTGTTCGATTTTGCTTACCGAGATAATTGGTGAGGAATCTGAGATACTTTGGGCATGGCCTCACCACAACTTCTCCCACTTCTGCTTCGGGCCAGCACGTAATGTTGTCCCATTGCCTTCTGCAACCTGCGGAAAGAGAAAAGGTGAGGATAGAACAAGCACGAGTGACTGCCAGGTACACGCGGTAAGAAGCTGGAGCAGAGGAACCACAGCGTAGCAGAACAGCGGTGCAAAGGGATATGGCGCCTACCACCGAGACACAGGCCCCTGCTGGAAGGAAAGGTACGTCCTTGACAGGAGGAGAGAGGAATTTGGAGCTCAACTAGCTCGGTGGAGCTGGTGGAGCATGAATCACGGTCACCTGCCGGACAAAGGGTTATATTCGATTTCATTAATTTACCGTCAGTTTCCAAATGACCGAAATGGAAGATGTTTTAAAAAAAATCTTCTCAAATCAAATAGGGCTTAAGGAACTTGTGTTTATTGCCCAGAATGAGGAGTACAAGCTGGGAAGAAGAGCATATGGCCTGGAGTACACAGGAGCATTTTCTTTAAACTTTCAACAATCCCAGTCCCTGAAACTCAGCACTGGCAGCGTCTGCAGTTTCCAGGAATTCACACAGACAGAACAGCAAACCTGTGCAGAACTGGACAAATCAGCGTTAACAGTGAACGGTGCCTTTCTTAGATGAAAAAAGCAGAAATGCTTAACTAAATGTCTCTCTTCCCCACCTTTACCCCTCCATGTTGCATTAAAACACTCAATCTGAAAATACACCGATGTGCAAGACACGTTCCCACTCCTCTGCTTTCCCCAACTTTTGTCACTAGCATTGCTTCCCTGTGAAATTAGATGGATGCGCAGGCAATGTGCTCAGTGGGAAGAGGACATTCATTCTTGATCATCCAAGGGATCAAGAGCCAAATCCAGATACAAATCTCGAGAAATGCTTTTTTGCTTTAAAAAGGGAAAAGGCCCAAGAGACTCCAGAAGGCTGAGGAGGGACGGTGCCATCCCCATGAGTTGCTCTCTGTGGAAGGGAGCGTCCTACAGTGGTGCAAGGTTGTGGTGTAAAGCCCTACCCAAGCTAGGAAAGAAGCAATAACCAACAGAGCAAACTTCAGACTTAAACTACAGGATTTTATTAAAAGTAAACATTTCCAAATAATCTTTTGAACTGATTAACAACTTCCTGCGAGGGAAGAAAGGCCAGGCACATCCCTCCTGCAGAGCTGTAATATGGTGCTCCGATTTTGTCATTTTATTTTCAATTTCTCATACGGCATCCATTATTTAACATACATGCTATATTGTTGAATATTGTAACTTTAGCATTTGAAGCCACAAGAAGTTGGCCGACCCGAATTTAAACATTTCAGGCTTGTTTTTGCCTCAGCACACTTCATATTTTAGGATTTTTACTACAATTTTGAAATCATTTTTTTCCCTCTTGAAATTTTCAACAGACACGCACTTCAATTTTTGCCTGGATTAGACAGATGGGGGTTGTCATCAGACCTCCCTAAGAGTCACTTCTTTATAGCACCTCTGCCCTGCAGTTCTTTGTCATGCCCCATTACATTGCAACCCTTCCCTGACTGTGACTAAAGTGCTGTTGTTAAGGTCAACAGCCTCGCAGGAGAAACCGGAACATGAAGAAGAAAGCTTTGAGGTAATACATTTCACTTGCAAGAAAAGGGAACTACAAAAACCACTGTCAAGCTGCATTTCTTTGGTAATTATATCCTGATCTGAAATATCTCTTTTAAATCGTCTTTTACTCCTTATGCTAAGAAAAAGCCTGGCGTCATGATCAGTTGTTTCAGATGGAGGCAGCTTGCTGTCTCAGATCAACGAAGAGAGCACGCAAGAATGCTTTGAAGCTGAAAAAGAAACCTCAGCTCTCTTTCAAAGTTATCGCACAAATTTTTCCTTCCTTCTTTCAAGAGTAAACAGAACTTTTCAGATGAAGTCCTGAGGTGAGTTTATTGGAGCCTGAAAAAGGAATAGCTGACAGTATCTTCTTTGTGCAAGCTCTTCTGTACCATTCATTAAAATTCAGTTTTCAGATTTCTAATATCAGTTACAAAGCTCAGTTCCCACAGAGCCATATTTATCTGCTACCAAAGAGCCAGCAGCTCCAAAAATGTTATGATAGTAGGCATTCTGCCCACGGAAAATAGACGATTTCATGATAAGGTCTTTCAAGTTCTACAATCTTTACCTCCATCAACCTTGATAATTATAATGCCCCCATTACCCCAGGACAGATTGTAATGGAAACTAATATACAAGGTGATGGTATCAGATGGCTTGTTCAATGTTCTGAATTGCACACTTTGAGAATATTTGTGATCCTTACCTTTTCCTATGAAAGTATTTTTCAGCACCACTGGTGATGCATGTTAAAAGCTCAGTCTTGCTCGGCTTGGTAGCAAAAGATCTCTTCGATTTAAATTAGGTGAAGATACACGACACTGGCTTTACAAGATACACAGAGTGGATCTTCAAAAATTATTGTGTCTGCAAAGACCGCTCATGTCTGCCTATTAGCTCTTCCAACATCATTCTTGCTTGCTGGACCCCCACATTTGCTCATGCTATTTGTGCAGTTGCCAGGAAGGGTCCAGGTTTTATGGGCGAGACTCATATACCTAAATGTATGCATCTACAAGTCAGATGCGTCAGTAAATCTGAAAAAGTCAATGGGAACAGGAGCTCTGACTGCCACGTCACGTCACCCTAGGATGGTTATTTAAAGCAGAGCAAAGGAGTCATTCTCTGGAGGTATCCTCTTCTCTCCAAAGACTAGAAGGTGTCCTGTCATTATTAACTCACACTTAGATATTTACTTTTGAGGTCTTTGAAGTTAAGTGAGATACAATTAACTCATACTATCTCTAAGTCAGAACAAAGCTTAACATCTAACGCTTACATTATAACAGCTTGTTTGAAATGCAAGTTTCTTGTTTGAAATGTAAGACAGAAAAAAAAAAAAGCACTCCCCTTTGAAATAAATTAGACAATATGAAGGTCTGGCACCTATAAGATGCTTTGAATCTGTAGTCCAATGCTTACTGCTCACCCTGCAGTCAGCCTGTAAGATATCAGACATAAGTTTGCGCCCATCGTTCCAAACCAGGACAGAGACAGCCTTTATCAAATGATCTTCCAGAAAATTGTCTTCTTTCTCCAAAAAGAAGACAAAAAGAAGTCTATTAGCAGACTGATAGACTTTTCCCTGGCAAACTGCTGGGATCAGGGGTGCATGGCAGGCAATACTGAGTCATGTCATTGCAACAGACCAGTATCTGAAAAAAATTATCTAAGAAAGAGCTGCTATGTATCTTGTAAAAGGGGAATCCCTGTCTTCCCTATGGCATTACTTGGCCTTCACGGAATGAGTTTGTTTTGCCTAACCAAATCATATTTATTGATTACTAGGGGCTTCTCCAAAAATTTATAAATGTTGTCTTCTCCCTTGCACTGAATACTTGCAGGAGGGATGCAAAGGCCTTCATTAATCCTCATCCAAGGCAGCAGGTGGAAATGAGTCATACGTTCACCTTTCACTTATATTGCAACCCTAGTAAACAGTATGGCAAACCTTTTAATACCATTTCAATCAAAAGAACTGCTCTGCTCCTTTGCTGCTTACTAAAAACCAAAGAATACATACTGCCGTTCCACTGAGGGCTGTCTTTTGCCTTGCAAAGGTTCACAAGCGAGTCTGGAGGAGCTGTGGTTAAAACCAGGCATGACTTTTTGAAAGATGGGCACATTTAGCCATCCCTGGGTAATCAGGTATACTCTTTAAACTCATGCCATTATATATGTTGCATGTATGTGTGTACAAAGACTCTTCTTCTCAATTGTTTTAACTGTGACTTCTAGACACTCTGCTTTGTCATGCTCACATCTGGTAGACTGTGAAGTGCTTTCTGGAGCCAAATTTCTTCTTCTGGAAAGCCATGAGGAGAAATCCTTCATGACTCTAACGAAGCTGCCTTTTAGCCTTCCCTCAGATAAGCAGATGAAATCGCTCATCCTCTTGCTCTAAACCACACAATTAGTGTAATTAACTGCAGCCACTCTCTCCTCCTCTTGAAGAGGGCTCCCCAAGTCTGGCTCAAGGAGGACTGTTAGCAAACGGGCTGGAGGCTGTCCATCGCATGACAGACCCAGATCTTTACCTTCAATGCTCATCCTCCTTCTTTGCAAGCCAGGTGCCTGGGCTACCCCAGTCATAGGTGGCCAGGCTTTGAAGAGCCCTCCTGTAAGACGTGGCACGGATGGAGGCTACACATCAAAGCTCTTCTCCCTGCCCGTTTGCCAGCGGTCACCACCCCATAGCAGCAGGATATGCCTGTTCCCAGCTGCCACCACTTGTTGGCCAATGTCCGCGGTGTTTGAGGGTGCTGACACAGTCGCTACCAGACTCGGCTGCAGTGGCTTAAATAAACCCCCCGACTTCAGAAGGTGGTAGTCTTTTTTGTCATCACTGCCAAACGTGAATAAAAGCTCAGGGTCTTGCTTTCTCTCCCTTCAAAAGGTTAATAAAGAGAAAATCGGTCAATCTGAATGAGCCACAGGTATATGGTGGTTTGCCGAACTGGCAGATTAGAGTGCAAAGAACATTGCTCTGAGTTATATCTACGCGCACAGGAACTACATGGTCAAGTCTTATCTGGGAGGCAGCAGAGAACAACTTCCCTTCATGAATAAATATGAGCTCTGGCATAGCTCTGAGATGTAGCTGGGCTGGGCTGCGGAAAGAAACGAATGGCAGTAGGCTGGTGCTAAGGCAAAGTCTTAACCCAGGCAAACTCCTAATTCAGAAAAAAAGCCTTTCTGCACATTTCTCATTAGCGCCAAGCGCTCCCTAACAAGCAGGAGTCCCTCTGAGTCTCTTTTGGAAGAAATTAGCTCAGAAGACAACGGTCAGATCCGTGGTCAGATGCAAAGAAAGATGCTCATTAGATGCCTGGAGTATCTCAGGATCTCCGTACACCTCCCACTAGCCACAGGTCAACAACAGCAAGGCAAAGTGCAGCTTCATTAAGCCAAGCTGAGATATCACTGGTACATTCCCAGGCAATAACCTGGTGTGCTTCCAATGGAAACT